AAAAAATTGTTGCCTCTCAGCTCCATTCCCACCTCACCTGTAATAGTCTTTATGAACAATTCCAGTCTGGCTTCCGTCCCCGTCACAGCACAGAAACAGCTCTCATAAAAATCACAAGTGATCTCTTCATGGCAGCAGACTCTGGCTTAATCTCCATCCTCATCCTCCTTGACCTGAGTACAGCTTTTGACATCATTTTGCACTCCATCTTCCTCAATAGACTCTCCACCATAGGCATCACACACACCCCCCTAAGTTGGTTCCATTCATATCTCACTGGCCGCTCTCAGTTCATCAAACTCAATTCCTTCACTTCACAATCCCTCCCCTCACTTTTGGTGTTCCCCAGGGTTCTGTCCTGGGTCCCCTCCTTTTCATTATATACCTTCTTCCGCTCGGCAATATTTTTCGCAAATTTGGTATTCACTTCCACTGCTTCGCAGATGACACCCAGCTCTACCTCTCCAGCAAACCCGACACCTCCCTCCCACCCACCTCCCTCTCTCACTGTCTCTCAGAAATCAAATCTTGGTTCACCCATAACTTCCTCAAGTTAAACAGGAACAAAACAGAACTCCTCCTCGTCGGTACTAAATCCACCCTATGCAAAGCCGACAACTTTTTCCTCACAACTGATAACTCCACTGTATCTCCTTCCCCTCAGGTCAAGAGCCTGGGTGTCATCCTCGACAGCTCACGATCTTTCCACTCCCACATCAATAACATTACCCGGTCCGCATATTTCCACCTCCGTAACATCAACCGTCTCCGTTCCTCTCTCACTCCTCACACTACTGCTATCCTTGTTCACAGCCTCGTCACCTCCCACATCGAATACTACAATTTACTTCTTTTCGACGTCCATCTCAAATTTCTCCATAAACTTCAACTTGTTCAGAATTCAGCAGCCCGGATCATTACGAGAACCCCCTCCTTCCATCACATCACCCCCATCCCCCGACAGCTCCATTGGCTCCCTGTTAAACATAGAATCAATTTCAAAATACTTATTTACACATTCAAAGCCATCCATAACCTTGCCCCCCCCCTATCTATTAGATCTTCTTCAGATCTACATTCCTTCTCGCTCACTCAGGTCTTCATCCTCCCTCCACCTCTCTATACCCTCTGCCCGTCTCAGTACAATTGAAGTATGCCCCCATGCAGCAGAGCCTTCAGCCGCTCTGCCCCCAAACTCTGGAACTCACTTCCACCCAATATTCATAACATTGATTCTCTTCCCACATTCAAAACCCAGCTCAAAACCCACCGATTCAGACTTGCTTATTCCACTTAAATTTATCTTTCTTTATTTATAAGTTTATCTGTGGTTTTATTGTTTGCTCTTGCCTGTAAAGTGTCCTTGAGTGTTGTGAAAGGCGCTTACAAATAAAATGTATTTTTATTATATTATTATTATTATACTTCTTTCCTGAGTTTAGGAGCTCAAATTCGGAGTGTAGCACGTGAGAAGGATTGTTTAAAATGTTGTTTGCCTGTTGAATAACGGACTGCACATACATGTCCTGGGGAGCAGGGGGTGGGGGCTGTCCTATTACCTTCCTTACCACGGCAAGCCACTTACCCAAGTGTCCATCAAATGTGGCATATACTAAGGTGATGCACCCTCCCCACTGCTGTTCTGCACAGGACTGAACCCCCTAAGCCAAGTAATCGCCAAGACAGGCTATGGATAACGCCTCAGAAATGGATTTACAATCAGTCAACTCCTCTCCATGGATGACATAAAGCTGTATGCTAAGAGCGAAAGGGACAGAGACTCCATGATCCACACAACCAGGATCTACAGCAGTGACATCGGGATGTCATTCGGGCTTGAGAAATGTCGTCGGATGGTGACTAAGAGAGGCAAGGTAAAAAACTGAAGGGGTCTCACTCACTGAAGGAACAATAGCAGACATTGAGGACAGCTACAAGTACCTCGGGATACCACAAGCCAATGGCAACCTCGAACTGGCAACAAGGAAAGCGGCTACGGCCAAATACCTCCAGCGGTGAGACCAGTTCTAAGAAGCCAGCTCAATGGCAAGAATAAGACCCTGGCAATCAACAGCTATGCCCGGAAAGTGATCAGATACCCTGCAAGAATAATCAGGTGGCCAAAGGAAGAGATTCAGACCACGAATGTTAAGACCCGAAAGCTCCTAACCATGCATGGAGGGTTCCATCCCAAATCCAGCACCTTGAGACTGTACGCAAGCCGAAAGGAAGGAGGCCAGGGACTAGTAAGTGTGAGAGCCACTAACCAGGATGAAACATCCAAGCTCCATGAATATATCAAGGAGAAGGCTCCAACGGATGACGTACTCAGAGAATGCCTCAGACAAGTGGGGACAGATGATGAGGTGCTGGAAGAGGGACCATCATGGGAGTACAAGCCCCTACACGGGATGTACCACC